CAGGCTGGATCCAACTCTATTTTATTGCTTGCAAGCAGGCCGACAGAGGAGCTTGTTGCTCAGATCAGTGTCGACCCTAAACAAAGAGCGCACGTGGCTTTTATTGAGCTAGCATTTTTTTCAGTTGACGTGTTACATTTTGATTGGTCATTTCAAACCAAAACCTGAGCAACCTATAAGACATACATAGTGGGCCATCCTGTACCATGTGGGTGGAAAGTTACAGAATGCAGGGGTTAATACTAAAACAAGGAACAAAGAAACATAGAGAAAAGTATCTATTTTCGCTACACATGTGCAATGAATGCCGCTGAATAAACTCTGGCACAGTTCGCACTGAAATTATTGCTCCTGGGTGCCACGTTTGCACGTATACCCGGGACCACAGCATGTGGAGCCACAGCGGAGTAGCCCCAGCTGGCAGGGGGCTCTGGGGGTCAGCCTGCCCACCCGGGGCTGCTTCACCCTGGGTCCACGTGCTGTGGAGTGGCTTGCTGGGGCACAAAGGTGCTTAAGTGTGGGGCTAGCTAGCAGGCAGCCCCCCCCTCCACAAAAGCCCTTCCACCCCCCAGAAACCCCTGCCAGCATCTACACTTTCCTTGTGGCAGAGTAAATAACTCTGCTGTAGGATAGTACTTGTGTCTGGCAGTACTATCCTACATCAGAGTTAATTAGTTTACTCTGTTGTAATAGCACCACAGTAAACATCTTATTTGGTGCCCCCACACTCAAGTAAGCAGGTACAGATTCATGTAGTTGCCTGACCAGAGTAGTTTTAGAAGTTTATTTCAAATTTCTCCATGGAATTTTCTGAATTTATCATTAAAACTTTTTATTTTGTTTTAATTTTAAAAAATTGGAAACATTTTTGAAGTTTTCAAGTCTTGAGTTTTAGGATTTTTATTTTTTTTATAAATCTAATCCCCTCTCTCTTTTATTCCGGGTTTTTCAGATGAACAGTAAAGGATAGGGGAGAGAGAGAAAAAAACAAAACTGAAAAATTAAAACCCAAAATATTTTCAAAATCCAAAATGAAACATTTTTAAATTTCAAAATAAACTCAACAATTGGTAAATTCTGAAGGAGAACACATGTTTTGTTGAATTTTTTGTTTTGTTTGAAAAAGCTTTTTTCTCCCTGTAACTAAAGGAAAAGTGTAACCAGCTCCAATATTATATGAAAATTTTCTGCTTTTGTGGAAGGCCTGTATTTGGCTATGGGTATATGGACTAGGTAGCCTAACAGGATTTTCTTATTTCTAATTATATGATTCTGGTAAATTGCATGTTGTGTTAACACCTTGATGTTCCAATAGTGAAAAAAAATCAACATCTCCAATTAAAATCTTACTAGCATTTTCTCTCAATATTAGAACTATTATTTGCTGCATTTACTTATACAGAAATTAATTCATTTTTACAGTCTGATCCCTCCAGTAACTGTCTGTGTTTACTGAAGGACTGTCCCACTGAGGCAGTGGCCAAAAAAATTGTCCATTGTGGCATGACTTGTTATTTGTATAATGTTCTTGTAGATTACATTTGTTTCATGATATACATATATATCGTACATA